TAACCTCTGATTGAGCAAAAGATACTAGTAGATGACTCAAGTTTTCTTTTTCTCCTGGAAATGCAAATCCAGGTTTGAAATACTATTGGTTTTCAATTATCCATGCTGACAGTGCACATCTCTGATGACATACACTATAATCCTCAAAGTGCGTCTCAGCCAACAGCGCCCCCTTCTCTCCCAACAGCGCCTCAAGCCCTGCAGGACATGAACAAACTAAAGGACCAAGAGCTCTGAGGGCGGGCTGTACCAGGCCAAGTCCCAGAAATGCCACGAAGTGGCCACGGGCCACTAGCCAGTCCCTTAGGCTCCTCATCTGAGAACATGGACAGTAGCGACATGCAAAAGGGAGCCAGGAGGACCACAGGTGATGAACACAAAGTGCTCAGTACAAGGCCTGCCATCACACAGCTGCCATCATTGCACACTGCAGTCGCAGGGGCCAGGGGTGCTGGAGACCCTGTCCCATAAGGAGCAGCTGGAAGATCTGGGGAGACTCAGCCTGGAGAAGAGCAACCTCGAGGGGTGTGAGTGCTCCTGTCAGCAGGGCTGTCCCAGGCAGGGTAACAGGCAGAGACTACAGACCCAAATAGCAGAACCAGGGCCCTCAGACAGGGGTGGGTGGTCCTCAGAGGCAGAGCTCAAACCCAGTAAACAAGGCTTTGTCCCAGTCCCAGCTGACCACATGGAAATAGCTGCCTCGGGTACAGTGCAGCCCATCTTCAGTGGCTCCCATCCCAGAGCAGATTCGGACAGCACCAGTTGCTGATGGCACATCTGTTACCTGAGAAACAATAACGACTTTGCCAGTCTCTGCATCCACTGCCTGCACGACCCCTGACACGGTGCCATTGCCCACGGCGAGGCCCTGCACCAGCCCAGCACCGCTCACCACAGCGATACTTTCGTTGCTGATGGAGAAGAGGATGTTGGACTGAGGCTGGGGGCCACCCTCGGAGGTAATCTGTGGGGTGAAAAAAGGCAGCACTCATCAGTACCCGCGATCCACCTGTGCAATCTGCGCCTCACTCCTGGAGAGTGGGGCATCCACACCAAAGCCCTCCACCTCCACCTGTACCCAGAAGGCTACCCAGTGCCCTGGGGTGGGCGTGGGGAAGAATGTGGCCTCTTGGCTCTTACCTGCATCATAGCCCCGATAATCAACGTCACCTTCCTGGGTATCAACCTGAATGGAGGAAAGACCTAGGCATGGAGACACAAGGGGGAAGGGGACTGCTGTGCTCCGAGCTCACAGTGGCCCAGCATGATTCACACTTAGCATCTTCCATGACAGCAAAACATGGGGTACAGACATCACTTCTGTGAAGAGTGACCCCAGGGGGGCCCAGTCCAACCCTGGGGAGTCTGCATCCCATCCGATAGGCCAAGGCTCTTCATTTCTCCAGATGCCAAACCCCACAAAAATAAGGACCTTTTATTCACTTGAGACATCCCCTTAGAGCAATGGTCCTCAGTGTGGGGTCCCTGGCCTGTAGTATCAGTATCGCCTGGGGACTTGCTGGAAATGTGCCTTCTCAGCCCACTCAGACCTACACAATCAGAAGTGGGGTCCTGCAACCTGTGTTCTAACACATCCTCCAGGAGATTCTGATGGGTATCCAAGTTTGTGACCCACTGCCTTCGAGATCCTCCCAGCTCCTCCTTAGAAGCTTGCCTCTTTCACTAAATCTCTCCGAATTTCTACTGAAAAAATGCCTTAGGATAGTTCTCTACTTCGATGCCCTCAAAACTTTTCAGATGAGGAAAAAGGAGCTCTAGGGGTAGACACTAGCCCGGGCGGGGACCAGGGATGTGGGTGGCCCCATCTCTGCAGCAGGGCAAAGCCCCCACATCCTCCTCCTGTGCCCCTACAAGTCTGTACTCGGGAGGAGTTTACGGAGTGCTTGCAGGTGAGCAAGCGCAAGGGTCAGTCAAGGCACTGCTTTGTGTGCAAGGATTAGTCACTGGAGAGCTGCGTGATTTATAGGCAGAAATGAATTCTTCATCGCCAGGAGAAGAAAGGTGAGCTTCCATCTAGAGGCACAAACTTATCCACTGGCTTTGGAACATGGATTAATAAAGCCTGCCAGCCTCCGTGTGGCCGTTCATCGCCAGGAGAAGAAAGGTGAGCTTCCATCTAGAGGAACAAACTTATCCACTGGCTTTGGAACATGGATTAATAAAGCCTGCCAGCCTCCGTGTGGCCGGGACCCTCAGAGGATGCTGGCAGGAGCAAATTGAATGGTGCTGCTAATGGATACACTGGGGTGTGGTTTTCTGGCTGTAGCTGCCTTGGCCTCTGCCTACTGACATCACAAGACAAGCCCACATCATACACTGACTCAGAGATCCCTCGTCCAGGAGTCACCTTCACGATGGTCTCTGCTTGCACAGCCCCATGCCAGGAGCCCTATGCCCTCTAAGTGCCTGTTCTCAGGCTCAGAGCCGACCACTGAGGAGTTCTACACATGAGCCAAAACCTGCCTGGAGCTCCTACTGGCCTCTGCTTTCTGGGAACAGCTCTCCTCTCTCCCCTTGCTATGTGGCAAGGCACCCCTTCTCTAGGCCACATGGTCCCCTATGTCACAGAGGGAAATTAAAGTTGCCAGTCTAACTGTGCTGCCTCCCAGATCCCTGGGACTGGTGAAAGCTGATTTTTCATCAGTGAACACTGTTGGGTACAGATTTTAACATGGCTTCTCTATGGTAGCTTGCTGGACTGTGGCAAAAATTCCCAGCTTGTTACAATGAAGACCCCCCCCGCCCCCCCACCATCAGTGGGCTGATCCCACACGGTGTAAAAAGGACCAGTTTTACTTCGATCTGTTGTGGGGCTGAGTTGATTCTCTGTCCGGCTTTATCAGTCACACTTGCGGTCAGACTGGTCTGGCCAATGGCCACACCATGGACGAGGAACGTGGCGGTGTAGTTGTCGAGGGTTTCATCGAGGGCCCTGGAACAGAGGGAAGGGCTGGGACTGGGACTTCTCCCCCTAGACAGACCTGTCCTGCGCCTGGGGTCAGCGCTGTCCCGCAGATGCCCTCCTCTGACCTCTGTGAGGACTCACACCAATGTGATGATCTGAGAGGCTGCTCGGAGCTTCAGGTCCATGAAGGCGAAGTATTTGGTTAGGAAAGGCTTCTTGTAGAAGTCCAGCACGCGGACATATGCCTTAACTGTCTTCCCAATCTCCACCTACATTGTAGGGGACGGAGCCTCAGAGGCGGCCTTGGAATGACCAATCCCACCACCTATGGCGACCCACGACTCTCTGAGAGAGAATCACCAACCTCAAACCTACAGACCTGGAAACGGGGGATGAGTCACCCACGTGTACCTCCAGACTATCAGTCAATCAACAAATTAAAATGGATTAACTGCTTACTGTATACGAGGGGCTTGGGGATACTTAGAGGCATAAATTCCATTCCCCACTGGTCAAGAACAATCTAATTTGGGAGATAAGACACAGCTTAGCACAGCAGCAGGCATACAGTAGGAGCTTCATATATGCTCACAGACCAAATACAAGCTCACATCTGGCTGTAAGAAAGAACATACATAAAGAACTGGAGGAAATGAGTCACAAGTGCTTAGTGAAGACACAGAAATCTAGACAACAAGTTAACAGTGGATATAAGATTATGGGAGGAATATGGATTTGAGGCCGTGTAAGAATATCAGCTCTTTAAGTAGTCTAAGCTGCTTGAACGTTCCCCTTTTAAATATTAACCAGTCTGTACATTCTGGGAAATAAACACTCGACAGCCACCCTCTAGAAGCCCAGCTTTAGCTTCAGTTACCTCAAATATTTGGAGTAAAAAAAGTCCCTAGTTACGTGAAAGAAAAACCTACATTATTTATTCATTTTGCAAAAGCACTTGGCATTAGTGAGTTTTACTCATTTGCCACTGAACTTCCGGAGAATCCAAATCCTATCTTCTGGGAAGAAAATCCGTGCTTAGCAAATGTGCGCCCGGCTGGTTAGGAACCTACATGAGCTAGAGGACATGAATTCCCAAGTCAAGGCTAATTTAGAGACAACCTTAAGCAGGATTTACTGCTGAGCTCTATTGGTGTCAACTGGGATGAAGAAATATAACATCAGAGGTCACTCTGCCTCATCTACATGAAATGATGGAGGTAAGAGACAGCACGCTCACAGCAGCTTGGGAGGGGTGGAGGGAGGCAGAAACCAGGAGGAACAGTAAAAGGATGTGAAGAAAAAGCCTCCTACAGCCACCTCATTTTCCCGGCTCCTGCAGATCAGCAGAGAGAAGGTCACGTCATGAAGCTTCCACTGACCTTGTCAACCACACGGATGTACAGCTCTTGGATGTCCGAGACATAAATGACAGCCTTTGCTGGGGCCGGGAAGACCAGGCACAAGTCGTGGATCATGATGGTGGACGAGCCCGGGAGCAAAGGGTACACCTGCAGGGTCAGATGCGGGCCAGGTGAGGGAGCTGGAGGGGACCATCTCTGCAGCTCCTCTCTTCCTCACCCTCAGCCTCAGCCTATCACCCTGTGGGACACCCTGCCTGGGGACTGCCAGGCCAGCACTTGGAAGTCTGGGACAAGGAAAGTCTTAACCCAAATAGTGTTTTGCCCACTTCTTGTCATGAGCCCCACTGCCAGCCAGGGGAAGGGCTCAGAGTATAAAATGTTAGGGCCGGGGTACATCTCAGCATTTATCTCAACTTTGTAATGCTTTACAAGGAGAAGAAAATGGAAGCTGCTCAAAGGGGGGCAGTCAGCAGCCTTGGGACACACAGCAACCCAGAGGCAGAGTGAAGACTGAAGCCCAGGATTCCGTGTCCTGCTCTGGCCACCTGCCCCTGCAGCCTTGGTGACAGAAGAGCACCAGTGTGGTCTTATGTGAAACTGCAGGTCAGGGCTGCTGGAACAGGAGACGGCTGCTTTCCAAAGGGAGCTCTTCTTAGAGTTCCCAACCTGAACTCAGAGTCTCAGAACCTGGAATGGACCATAGAGGTCACTCAAGTGTGAGCTCTTTGAGTCTTACTCATCTCTACAACTCAGCTTTGCTTGAAGCAGTGACCTCTTAAAATATTCTGAGTGAGTGTACTAATCTGACCTAGTGTTTTCTAATCTTTTCACTGCCTAAGATCCCCCTTTTCAATCTTCCTTTTCTTTCCACCCACTTCCAGGCATCCCACCTTCAAGAGAATCTCTCCCTTACAAATGGCATCATAATCACCCTCTCATGCTATGGAGAGTGGGCATTTGCATGTTGCATGGTAGTCTATTTATGGACTTGCTGCAGCTTGTCATATTGCTTAGGCATGTATTTCACCTGGGTGGCCTGTGAAGCTAGGGACAAGTCATGGAGCTAGTGGGTGAAGCTAGGGGGCTACCTCAAACCTCTACCCAGGCCTGGCTTTGTCACTTGTGGTTTGTGGTCTCATGTTCATGGGGTGGGGGGTGATGTGTATAGCAAGCAGTTCAGTGATTGCAAAACTAGAGTTTTAATATCAAAAACCTGTGAAAAAACATCAGGATTCTAACTCAAAAGAGATAACCAAATACAGGTTAAAAACATTCAATGGCTACCGAGACCTCTGAGAATGAGCCCAAACCCTTAGTATGCCCTATAAATCCTGCCTACCATTCCAGCTTCCCTGCATGCCACAATCCCCCACAGTCCTCAAACTCCAGCCACACTGGCCTTCTATCTCATCCTCCAAGCCAGCTAGCACCTGCTTGCCTGCCAGCCTCAGGGCCTTACAGTCCACCTTACAGACCTGGAACTCTTCTTCCCCAGCCATCATCCACTGGCTCCAACTCATCCTCAGGCCCCAGTTTCAGCATCCTGCCTCAGGAAAGGCTTCCCTCACCCCAGACAGGTCAGGCTCCTCCATGGCCCTGGCTCACTTCTCCTAGTGGCTGTTATCACTGTTTGTAATTCAGTCTTCACGTGGACCACAGTTCAGCTCATCTGACCCTCTCTAGGCAGTCCTCTGCCCTGCAGTAGCCTCAGGACTGAGTCTAGGGTCTGGCACAGATTTGCCTCCCATACACACACTTGGTTAGCAGGAGATCCAGGGTCACTGCTCTGAGTAATTCTGGATAAAGTAACAAAACCTGGTGCTGCAGCCTGCTTGGCTTTACAGAGAGTAAAAATAGCTCAGTTAAGACTTGGACAGTCTGAAAAAAACTCTGCAAAGACCATGTACCCTCATGTATTTGAGAAGTGCTAATTTTGGTCCAACCTTTTCAATGTATAGATAGGAAAACTGAGGCCCAGATGGAAACACAGCCTTGAAGGGGCAGAGCTGGGGACATGACCCAGGTACTCTAGCTCCCAGTTTGGGGCTCCTTCCACCACACTCTCCACTTCCCAGGGGAATGGCGCAGGATGCCTCCAGCAACCAAAGGAACCGCTGGGTAGTGGAGGTGGGAGAAGTGACGGTATGAAAAGGCCAAGCTGAGAAAAGCCCAAGCTTGCAGTCAGTCAAGGACACAGAGGATTGGCAAACTGGGGCAAGCTACTAACTGCCAGAACACCTGAGCTCAAGGGCACATCAATAGACCAAGCACCCATGGGTTATTTCATACAATGACTTGGAGGAGATCAACAAAGATTCCAGAGTAGAAGTCACACTGAACTCCAAAAGGATGGCTATGTGATTGGTGCCATTGCCAGCCTGCCTGGTAACACATACCAGCTGAGGAACAGGGTCTGGGAGCCAATGGGGCTCTGGTTTTGCCGAGGAAACCATTCGCCCTGGCTTATTATACCTCCCTCAAAGAAAACTCATTGAGAAACTGCAGAGAGAAATGCGAGTTTCTTTGAGAACACAATTCGAAGCTCTGATCCGACACTCCCACAAAGTGACTGCTATTAGGAGCTGGTGCTTCCTTTACCACGGGAAGAAATTACACAGTGCGCCTCCTGCTGAGGGGCCCACGCTGCAGAATGCGGGGAAAGGCTTTTATTTCTTTTTCTTTTTTTCCTCTCCAGCAAAAGGACTGTTTGCATGTGTTAAACAAAAATATAAAATGGCAGTGGGGAAATCAGTTCCTCTCCTGCTTGATTTCCCAGCAGACAAACATCCAGGCGCTTTCCTTCCAGATGACGGCGGCAGGGGATGGCATGAAACTCCCATCTGCGGAGGCTACGTGGCCCAGCCTGCCCTGTACTCTTGCACACATCTGCTTGCTCCACCCCCACACAATGCTTTAAGGGAGAGCTCACGAGGACACTTTGGAGACAAAGAAACTGCGCTTGGAGAGGTAAGGGAACTCAGCCGCCAGCTGATGGCAACGTGGGGCCCCGCACCCACTCCTAACTCTAGACTCACACTGCCTGCTTCCCCAGGCGATCGGGACCCTTTGCTTCTTGACTGATACATGGGAGAACATTTGTGAGGGAAAGGAGGTGGGGGCAGTCCATGCCAGAATGCATTCTAATTTCTAAGTGTTGAAGGTGCCACCTAAGAACGTCAGCAGATACTGAGCCGAGGGGAAAGTCCTGTCATCGAGTCAGAGACGATGAATGCATTAGCACTCATTGAGATCCTCTGCTCACATGCAGACCCAAACAATGACATCACATGGGAGAACATTTGTGAGGGAAAGGAGGTGGGGGCAGTCCATGCCAGAACGCATTCTAATTTCTAAGTGTTGAAGGTGCCACCTAAGAACGTCAGCAGATACTGAGCCGAGGGGAAAGTCCTGTCATCGAGTCAGAAACGATGAATGCATTAGCACTCATTGAGATCCTCTGCTCACATGCAGACCCAAACAATGACACCTGTGGGTGCTTGCCAGGCCCCAAGGCTCATCTTGGCTCCCCGCTTCCTGGGCCCTGATCCCACTTTGGACTCATCCCGACAGGTGATATTGTAGAGGAGTAGGCACCCTACAAATATTTCTGAATGTCACTTGAGCCATCAGCCTCTGCTTCCCACAGAGTACCTGCCAATGTGTGGTGGGCCAGGCCATTCTGTGCAAGAGTGCTGGGGTCTGTGTCCCCGGTTCCTCACAGGAGATAACCCATACTCACACGAAAATCACATGCACTGAGAAGAGTCCCGACCTGGGCACTGGATGAAACTTCATGCAGGGCCCAGCCAGCCCTGTGGCTTCCTGGAGGGCAAGGGCTGGGCATGGGTACACTGTCCACAGATCAGTTGCAGGGGAAAAACGGACACACCTGAGTTCCAGCCTTGTAGCTGCCAACTCCTACCCTCACCCTGAAGCGCCTCCTCCCTGGACATGTGATGGCTCCATGACTGCCATTTGGAAGTGCAAAGAATGGTCGAGAAGAAAGAAACCTAAGTTTAAATCAGGTAAACACTCCTATGTGCAAGCCAGCCAAAAACGAAATAGCGGCCCCATACAGAGGGTTTTGGGGGCTGCATGAACAGAACTAATCACAGCCCCTGGTGCATTGTGTGGGCACAAAAATCTCCACCAGAGCCCTGTTGTGGGAGCTCCAGAGTTGTCTTCCAGAGATGCTCGGAAGCCGACACACACGCAGGAGCCATCCTTGCCACCTGAATGTGTATGAATAGGAAAGAAAGACCTCCTCCCTGGACATGTGATGGCTCCATGACTGCCATTTGGAAGTGCAAAGAATGGTAGAGAAGAAAGAAACCTAAGTTTAAATCAGGTAAACACTCCTATGTGCAAGCCAGCCAAAAACGAAATAGCGGCCCCATACAGAGGGTTTTGGGGGCTGCATGAACAGAACTAATCACAGCCCCTGGTGCATTGTGTGGGCACAAAAATCTCCACCAGAGCCCTGTTGTGGGAGCTCCAGAGTTGTCTTCCAGAGATGCTCAGAAGCCGACACACACGCAGGAGCCATCCTTGCCACCTGAATGTGTATGAATAGGAAAGAAANGAAGCCGACACACACGCAGGAGCCATCCTTGCCACCTGAATGTGTATGAATAGGAAAGAAAGAAACATTTTCTATGAGCTAATTGAAGAACCATTGTGGGCTTTTTTGTCTCTGTGATTAAGGGAAATGAGAATGCTGCTAATTAGCAGCTGGAAAATGCCAAAGAAATGTGTAAACATCCTTCAGAAACAACCATCTGAAAGAAGCTTTTAGGGCCTGTCGCAGATTGTCGACATTCTGCAAAAAGTGCCTCCCGCAGGTTATGGAAGAGGTAGAAGGAACCAGGACCTGATTCCCATTTGGAGTTGCAATGGCCTTTGGCACAAGCCCATGATTAGGGGGAAGTGTAGAGTCCAGTGGTCAAGGTGCCTCCTTCTGGGGCAAAAGCAATTTTCAGGAGTCTGCCACATGGATGCAGCTTCCCATAGGGACAGAGTTGTCCTGGGTCATGCCTGCAACCGGGCACTCTGTCCCACTCAACAGGAACCCACGTAAAAGAATGGCATGCAGACAGGTCAGAGGCCAGTCCACAGTCCAGAAGGAGAATTCCTAGAGCTCCCTTGTGACCATCCATAAAATGGGGGCATCAATACTTGTCTTAACTAGGAGCGCACAGAGGTAATCCTAGAACCACAGCATTTTAGGACTGAACAGGGGCTCAAAGGCCTCCTGGGGAAGGAAACTCAACCCCAATGCTGGAATTCCATCTTGAGTCTTTCAGACAAGTATCCCAGCTTCTGCTTAAATGCTTCCAGGGACAGGGTGCTCACTACCTGCACAGGCAGCCTAGTCCATCACTGACTCTCAGGTGTTCTTGTTCTTGGATGAAAGGTCTCTCTCTCGCCACAGGTCTACCCTCAGGGCTTACTCCAAATATTGGGTGCATAGTAAATGTGAGCAAAAGGGCTCCCGAGTTTTGCTGGCATATATACATTTTTCCTAACTTCAGACT